TTAAAAGATGTTTGAAAAAAAAAAAAAGAGGAAAGAAACCCTTTTGAAGTGATAACAAGTAGTGTGTGGAATCTCCTTCTGTAGCTAACAGAAGTTTGGGTATTTTTGCTTTTGTTTGTGTTTTTCTGTGACAGGATCTTGCTATGTAGTTCAGGCTGGCCTTGAAGCCACTATGTAGCCCAGGCTGCCCTTCAGCTTTCGAAGATCCTCCTGCCTCAGCCTTCCCAGTGCTAGCATACAGGCATGTAGCTCCACACCTGGCAAATAAGTTATAATAAAGTTCAAGAATGTATTAATAGCATGTTTGCCAGCTCAGATTTTCATCTTCAGTTCCTACCTTGTAAGAAATGCTTAATATTTATTTCTTTTGTGCCATTGTCCTCAGAGTTTCCAAACAATTGTAAAGACTATAAATAGGTGTTTAGCATATGTGTTTCCGCATATAGCAAGTTTAAAGTCTTGGTCTAGTTACTTAAGGTGTGAGTTTAGAAATTAACTGTGTAACTTTAGGAACATTTTTATTAACATTTTATTGTAATCAAAGAAGATAAAAATAGCCAAACACAGTGATTCATTCCTGTAATCCCAGCTATCTAGGAGGTTGAAATAGGAGGATCTCCAGTACTAGACCTTCTTGCACCATTTTGTAAGATTCAAAATGACAAAACAACTACAGATATAGAGTATTCCTAGGTTTAAATCCGGGGACACACACACACAGAAAGATAATAAAAAGAAAGAAAAAGATAATAACTAGCATTTATTAAGCCCTTGATATGTGTCAGACCGTGTACATGTTTTATCTAATTCAAGCCTGACAAAGCTGGGTATGGTGGTGCATGCCTGTAATCCCAGTACTCAGGAGGCTGAGGCAAGAGGATCCTGAGATCAACCTGAGCTACAAAGTGAGTTCAACATCAGCGTGAACTACATAGCAGGACCCTATCTCAAAAAAAGACATAAAGACAGAAGAAAGAAAGAAAGAAAGAAAGAAAGAGAAAGAAAGAAAGAAAGAAAGAAAGAAAGAAAGAAAGAAAGAAAGAAAAGCTGACAACCACCTTAGGAAGTGATCCCTCCCTGAGAGTCCTGCACTGGATCCTGGCCCACCAATCACCAAGCTCTACACACCAGGGCCCCTGTCTTCCAAGATAGATTTTTTTTTCAATTTGTTTCTCTCTCTGTCTCTGTCTCTGTCTCTGTCTCTGTCTCT